CCAGACACTGTGAAGAAAACAATTCTAATCCAGCTCAGACTAATAGATGAGGATACTGTGTTGCCATTATTGCTGTTTCATCCTTTCTCTCTTCACCCCCAGCTCCACATAAATGCTATCAAGGAAGACACTACTCTGAGATACATCAGAACGCAAGCATTGCGAACACCTCTGAGTCAGTGAGGGTCCATTTACAGTCCCATGACTTCTTTCCAGGGAAGAATGGCTTTGAGTGAGAAGACAAATGCAGTCAGATAGCATAACTCAGACTCAATAAAACTATCCCTGGTCAAGAAAGTCTTAAAATTTCGCAACACTGAGAAATCTTGATGCATCCTAGTTCTTTTGACAGTAAGAATAAGCTGCTTGGAGAGGAACATAATTTTGTAATCTTTTGGGAAATACACCACCGTGGTCCTGATTCAAGCATCCAAATGTTGCTCTATACCTAAATAGCCCTTCAGTCACTGCTCACATTGCTCTTTTCCTTGACACTTCACTGTTTCATTGCTTCAAACACCTGCTTCAACACAGCTGTGATTACCCAGTGACTACACACTATTTTTCTTGCACAATTACATTTTTATTTTTTTTCAACGGAAGGAAGTGGGCAATGCTGGCATGTGTTTGCCATCAGACACAGCACTGGGAACAATTTATTTGAGAGTAGTAGAGTTCAAGGTCACCGTAAGACAAACTCATCCCTGTGTTTGGAAGTTAACTGCATTTCAGTCCTGTTAAGTTTAACAGAACATTTCAAAGCAGACTTATTTCCATTAATGGTGCAGCATTAAAATCCTGAATGCTTGCTCTTGCCAGGAGTTCTATATAGGGTAATATATAGAACTCAGCTCCACCAGAACTGAAAATGCAGTGGTAACTTATAAGCATTGTATATATGAGCTATAAGTTTGTATGTGCCAGGCTAGTCTGAAAACTAGCAGATCTACTTACGATGCTCTAGGTTCTACCATCCATTAATCCAGGGAAACAAGTAGTGTTATGTACTGGTGCTGATGACTTACGTGCTCTTGGGCATACTGCCTAGAATCGTATTTGTGAAGTCATTCAGGGCAGTAACTGCTAGTTTTACTTAGTGTGTATACCCCAACATCTCTCTGAAATACATCCTCTATTTTTTATGTGCTTAAAGTTACCTGATGCTACCATACCTGAGACAGCAACTTCAATTAGAAAGACTGATACGGAAAGAATCCACTTTTTGTTGCTTGTGCTGACCCCACATCACAAACAGACTCTGCATCTAGAGGCTGATTAACAGTATGGCAAACTTTTGTAGGTGTTCCAAGTACTTCTGGAAACTCCAGTTAGCTTGAACAGTGATGCAACATGCATATGAGATCCTTCAAAGGAACAACACACACTGGATCAAGTGTTTAACCATACAATGCTAAAACGTATCACTGGTCAGTAACATGTTTTCAGAGAAAGGTTACTTTGGTAGGATAACCACAAGCCAAGTTCACTCTTGGCAATCAGCGAGACAATCTAACTTGATTCATTGCAACTGAAGTTATCTTTTTCTCCTGGGATCTAAAATAATGAAGTACCACGCAGCCAGTGCAATTAAATTTTGATCTCTGGGGAAAACAAACAAACAAACAAAAAACACCAAAAAACATATTTTGCCAAAGTTTGTGTTTTGCAATTATTTTCTGCTCGGCTCTGTTGCTAAGCAGAAGGAAGGGGCTTAGAGATCTTCATAGTGGCAATAAAATCTTGCTTCAGTTCCAGCTCTCTTTCTCTCTGAGACCAGGAGATGGAAGCAGTGCTCCATCAGATCTATCAAATCATCTCAGCATCATTAAAGCAAAATAAACACAAAGTAAAAGACAAGGTCTGACATCTTTAAACCTTTCAAAAAGACTTTTCCCAACAGTTGCCTTACTTAGAGAGGAATATCAGCATGTAAATAGAACCATAAAAATAAACCTTCATCTAAACAGCCTTCTGTTCTTCAAAAGCACATATTTATCCAGATCCTGTTCAGCATCAACTGTTTTCCTTAAAGACCATACTCTGCCACTTCACTGCTCAAGAGTTTCCAGGTCTAGGCTATAAGCTTTCACCAAGACGCCTGAGTCCCCCTGCTACTAATAAACAACAATGAAGCCCTAAGTAGTGCCCCATGCCCTTCTGTTACACTACCCTATATATTTCCCAGGAACATAAATACACAAATACAGCCTGCAAGCAGCATCAAGTTGCATCCAACAGAATTAATCTCAGCACATTCAGAATAGGCAGTTCCCTAAACCCAGGAGTGCTGAGCTCTAACTGTCCTCAGAGCACGGAGTATTCACTTCGGAGTCATGAGTCCAACAGGAAGGTGCAGGAAATAGAGATGCTCCAACCAGGACGACGAACAGGGAAACACAGCTTGCTACAACACAAGACAGCAGCTTTTCTAGTGCAGTCACACTGCCAAACAGAAAACAACTAGTAACAGCGACCAGTCCCAGTAGAGGCCATCAGGTAGATGTGCAAAGGCAAAGCAGTTCTGAAACCAAGTAAGCCAAGCCTAAAAGAGGCTTGCAAAAACAAGGCTGGCTCAAACCCCTCTACAGCGCATCTTCCAGGAAGGGAAGCTCAGACTGGGCTTCTGTAGAGCTATGAGCCATGGCCACAGACTACAAAAGCAGAGAAACCCAAGAGGGGGATGAAGGCAATTAGTGCCTATTAGCCCTTATTAGCCCTGCCAGTTGGCTCTCTTCTATCTGATTTGAGTTCAGGATATTACCAGGGGTCCTCTACATGATGTAAGAGACAGCAGACAGTTCCTTTTTTGATGTTGTTTCTATTTCCTCTGAGGAAAGAACTGTAGTTGTCTGGAACGTTTTAATCATGTTTCTGCATTCTTTCTTCACGCTAAAATGTATTTTGTAGTGGCTGAATTAAACTGGCTGCTGCACTTGAGCAGTTCTTTGACTCCCATACTTTTAAAATTTACTAAGGATAATAAGGTGAGAAAACAGGTTGTAATCATCCTTGTCACTCCACGTGGCACAGCTGTGCTATGGCTAAAAAAAAACAGCACTAGTGTTGCTGGTGCTGGAACTTAGGTCAGAAATTGTGTTGGGATCCCCTTGCTTTTATCTCATATGTTGCTACTTGAGGCTTTCAGAGGGGTTTTCTGAGTGAGAAGCTGAATACTGGAAGAAGAAGGGACAGAATATAAACATTCTGCTCTTTTGAGAGGGGCTAGATAGTTTTGTTGCTGTCTCTTGGATTAGCTATAGGATTGTAAAGATATACATGTTAAGAAAGAACAGTGTGTGTGTGCTAATTGTGGAGGGAAAGAAAAAGTATATTAAATATATTAACAGGCATCTAGACTGGTAAGGGAAAGTGGGTAGGGGTTAAGCTAGGTTTTCTAGCACATTTAATTACCCATCTTGGTAAAAATTCTTTGTGTAAGTGAAAGTCCTCACCTTCATGTTCTGATTATAACTGATTACATGTAAAACTAAGCATCTTTCTGGTATTAGGGCTCCTTTGGTAGTTATCTCTTTGGTGCTAAAATAGACACTAGCAACCCTATCGGTGATTACATTAAAATCACCACACTTCACGCTTCACAGGTGTTAAACCTTTTGCTAATGAAAGGTGATACTGCAACTATTCTATTTCCATTCTACTAACCATTCTACTTCAAGAGGTTGATCTGTTCAGGAAGCTTCAAAAAGCTTCAGGCTTGCAAGATTCATATTTTAGATCACTGCAGGTGTGATGTACAGCACAGAGTGGATCTGAGTGTCCTGGTGGAAAATAGGTTAGCCATGAGCCAGCAGTGTGCCCTAGTGGACAAGCAAGACAGCATGATCCTGGACTGCATTCAAAAGTGCATGGCTAGCAGATCAAGGGAGAGGTTCTTTCCCCTTCGATTCTGTCCTCATGAGGCTACATCTGGAGTACTGTGTCCAGTACTGTGCTCCTTCAGTTCAAGACAGAGGACTTCTAGAGGGAGTACAGGGAGGGGTCACAAAGATTATGAGGGGCCTGGAGCATCTTCCTTTTGAAGAAAGGCTGAGAGACCTGGGACAGTTCAGCCTGAGAGGAGAAGACTGAGGGGAGATCTTGTCATGCTTGTAAATATCTAAAAGCCAGGTCTCAAGAGAATGGGGACAGGCTCTTTTCAGTGATGCCCAGTAACAGAACAAGGGTCAATGAGCACAAACTGGAACATTGAATTTCCATACAAACATGAGGAAAAGCTTCTTTACTGCAAGGGTGAGAGAATGCTGGATCAGGCTGCTCAGAGAGACTGACAGTCTCCTCTGGAGATATGTAAAACCCTCCTGGATAGTTTCCTGCCCAGCCTACTTTAGTGAACTTGCTTTAGCAGGGGGGTTGGACGAGATCTGTGGAGGCACCTACAATTCTTTAACTTACTTAAATAATATAACATGAAAATGGTGGGATGAGGGATGAGATTAGGAGTCTTAGGGTGAAGCTGGTCTGCTCCTGACCTGGCCCCAGCTTCAGCCCATGTGGTAGCTATCACCCAAACTGGCTCTAGCTGAGTAGATTACAGTAGGCAGTTATTGTGTATTTGGGTATTGGCTGCGGTACAGGGCTGCAGTTTTGACTCTAGGACCATGTTCTGATTTTTGAGCTGTATGCATTGTTTTTCAGATATGATGTAATGCCAAAATGGCGTCATTGTTTCTTCCTCACCCTCCCTTGAGTTATTCTTGCAGGTATCCTCTTCTAAATTATGCCCTGCTGCTTGCAAACGATGCCCCAAAAGGCAACAGAACCTCATACTTTCCTTTTCTTTGTCCAACTTTCCAGGACCTTCCAATTTTTCAAATTCATCTCAGATATCCCTGGGAGCAGCATACATTGCTTGTGGTCAGCAGCGCAGACACACCACCTTGGAGACGGCATGGGTCGGTGAGCTTTTCCTGCTTCAGTGCCCTTCCCCAGCATGGCTAACACAGATGAGGAACGCTTAAAAAATGACAGGTAAAAAGTGATTGGGGCTGTTTATCTTTTATTATAAATTTAGTATGAATGACCAATGGAAAAGTCACAATGGAGTACCAAGACCGTTTATCAAAATTTTAGCAGCATTTAAACAGTAAGAGATTCCCAAACCTCTTCCAGACACCCCTTGCCCTTTGCCTCCCACCCACCAAACAGTAACCTTCACCCAAGTGTGCTTCCCGAAGCTGTGCAGGGATTAGTTCACCACCTCCTGCATCAAGTCCCCTGAGCTGCCATGAGGAATTGCATCCCGAGTGCTGGCCACCAACAGCCAAAGCCCCCAGCCATAAGAGTGGGGCTGAGTGGGTTTTGTGGCCCCACAGTCATGCCAGGCAGCCCCACTCCTGTACCAGAAGGCAGGCAGCCATGGCTCACTGGACAGAGATAGAGAAGACTGATGGTCTGTGCTGGCACTGAGAATGATGGCAGGGCAATGGGACAGGGGCTTGAGGGAAAGGTGGAAACTAAGAAGTGAGACACTTCACAAAACAAAGTCAGTGGACTGCCAGCTAGCGTGGACAACAGTGTTCTGCCTACTAAGCAACAACAAGTAGAACAAACTTTTTTGTGTGCTTTTTTGTTTTGTTTTTGTTTTTAATTACATTAAGATGGGAAGAGCCTGGCTATTGGTAGCTTGGTGAAAATAGTGTTAAATTAGAGGTGAAGAAACACAACACACATTCACACGTGTAGACAAGAATGTACTATTGGCAAGCAATTCCCCTGCTTCTTTGGTACTTCCTAAACTTTCTTATCCAAAATATATAAGGGAAATGCACCATTTAAGAGTTACTGTTTGTAAGTATTTACAAAGCCATAACCATTATGCTATGATACACCAAGATCAATATGATATGAACAGTTATCTTATGAAAAGCACTTTATGCACATTTTGTTCCAGTATCTTAGTAGCTTTAAAAAAATTCATGTGTTACGCAGTCCTGTACCTCGCTTCTTATATCAAATGGACAAGAAACATTTCCTAATCCATACTTCTCTTCAAAAGATTAAAAAATTGCCACCAAAATGATACACTATGTACAATTTTTTTTTCTAAATATTAAATTCTAGGCAATTATTTTCACCCCACTAATAATATAACTTAGGTATTGTTACCTACTATATGCATATATATTTATTTAATACATAAGAAATGGCACCACATCACCATGTCACCAATATGACACATTGTTATGTACAGTAGATAAGAAGTTAGATATGGAAGATGGATTCTCTCCGACCGGTCCTTTCATGGGAACACTTCTTCCCTAAATCCTAGCTTGGCTACTTCCCCTGTTTGTGGCTCTTCAGACGTAAGGTAGGATACCATACATCAGCAGTGCCATTACCCCTGCACTGAACAAGCCAGCCACCGGGACAGTCACAAACCAGGCAAGGAAGATGTTGCGGAAGAGACGCCAGTCAACAGCTTTCTTGGAGCGGATCCAGCCGACGGCCACCACGGAGCCCACCTTGTAAGAGTGGGAGGAGAGAGAAAGAAGAGATGTGAGGGGTATGTCCTAGTTCCTGCACCATGTCTGCACCAATGCCAGTCAGCTGATACCAGGCGATGCTCGAAACCGGCGCGCTGAGATATAGAGCTTCTGGTGATGATGGCTGCCCTCAGTCAAGCCCTCCACAGAAAGTCAGCCTTTCTAGACAAGCCACCAAGCAAAGCACCCAGAGCTAACATCCTCCCTGCAGATGAACACATCAGCCTGATGTGAGGCATGCAAACTACAGGAATATCAAGAAGCTTGGCTTCAGGTGGGGAAAATATCCTCACAGACACTAACAGGGCAGCTGAGGAGATTAGCGTTTCAGATGGAACATGCTGCAGCAAAGGTACAGCTACTATCTGTCTGTCATTTATTCCTTCAAATGTGTTTCCAGTTCATGAACTTGGGTGTAAACCCTTCATATTATTATGGCCACTCTGCCACTAACAAAACAATGTAGACTCATACATGTCTATTCAAAGCAGATAGTAAAGTATTAAAGAATGTGGAAAGAATACTCAGTTTTGAAGGAACTGAAACTCCATAACACAACCAGGCTTATGCTCCCTTCCTGCAGGCTGAAATGACATCCCTGCTTCCTCTTCCTTATTCATTTTCTTAATGGGAGAACTAGTCCCTGTATATAGGCTACAAGCAACTGATGTGTGGAGCCAGGGAAATTATAAATGCTGGAGCATGATAGGAGAGGATATCTGATCCACATCTTTGTTAATACCTATGTAACTTCTAACTGCTGCCTAACCTCTCTTTTTAGAGGCAAAAGCACTTCCTTGACAACCCTATCACTCTCATATCACTGAATCAAATGCTCCTTTGACAGAACAAGGAAAAATTGAAGTTGATGTTCTGGGACTTGAAAGGACTTGGTTTAAAGAAAGCACGAGATGTTTGTCCCCACAGAGGAGTGGACCCAACGCTTTGAAGGTCAACTTCAAGACTGTGTGAAATTACATGAAGGATCATGCTTTACAGGAGGTATACATCTGAGGGAATAAAACTAAAAGATTGTTTCGTTTTGTCTGTAGGTTGACCTGATCTAATAATGAAATTTGCTAGATAATATTTAATCTGAATACATCAGGACTGGACAATGTGCTAGGCTGTGTTTAGCTGGGGGAGCATGAGGCCTGTCTGTATGTGGCTTGCAGGGATCTCGAGAAAAAGCAGCACCTTGCCCAGCAAAAAGGAACTCCCAGCTTCCGAACATCTCAGGTGTTTATCCAGGGAAACAGTACTTTTCCAGCAGCTCAGCTGTTAGTCTCTGCTTTACATTTTAGCAGTGTGACATGCTACAACAAGAAGCGTTGCTTATTGAGCAAGCCTGAAATCTACATACGGTAATCTCTGAATCCTTCCTGAAATTTAAAAGGTATCAGCAATGATGGCATTGGTAATTTGTTTTAAACATCATCAAAGTTTAGTTGATTAATAGTAATTCAGATGGACTAAAGGTTAGGAGAGTAGCTAAAACTTCGGTGTAGGGCAACTACACCTTCTGTGGAATTTCAGATGACATCTACTTCGAGATTGGTTTGAAACCAGCGCAGTTTGCCTTCAGTATGCTCTGCTCAGAGCAGATCAACAGGAAATTCCTGTGCAGTGGTGCATCAAAATAATACCCAAACTACCATAACTCTGTTAATAGCAACACAGAGAGTGTTTACAACACCCGAAATAAAAGCAAAATAGATCCGGCAGTGTGACCTCAACAAAGTTATTTTTGCACAGAAAAAGCACCTACCTCCTGCACTCTGTTTTTCTCAGTGTGTTGCAGCTGAGAAGCACCTGTCTGTAGATCTCACATTTTACAGTAAACAACAGGCACCCAGCACTGGCTGCTTGCCTACCTGGGCAGCAGAATGGGGAGGCATGCATTCACAGCACACTGGCTTTTCCATGCTAACCTCAAGGCAGGCTGAACAGGTGAAATCATGTTTCTGCTGACTGAAAAAAAAAGACACTTCTGTCTCAATGGTAACTGCTTCTTTGATGTGTCCGCAGCAAATTCCATAGGGAAAGACGGAGGAGCTGGCAATGCTGTCAGGGAGACATTTTCCCATGGTGTGAATGACAGATAATCATTCTCTTATGCCTTCACTGGGCCCTTGACCAATTGATCTCTCAACACACAGTTTTGTTTTGCTGAAACACTGAGTTGGTGTAGCAGCATGATGTTCTAGAACAGCCTAATCCTGTTAGGAGGTAGATCCTCCCACTAAGAACAACCTATCTAATTATACATAGCAAGCTGCAGGTAGGAGTGAAGACTTAACCACATTAATTACTTTAATGGAAGCATTTTTTGAAGAGTTAATGTGCCCTGCCCTTCAAAAAGACCAAGCCTTTGACTGTGTTGAGTCAATGAATACATTCTAACACAGCCCTCTCATTAGCTGATGGCTTCCAAGAAATTTCCCTTTTGCATTTAAAGTTGGTCTATTTGTCTGCACCAAAGTGCATTTTCTCTTTTCTGATGGCTGACTAGAAGGCTCCAGGCACACAGTGCAGATAATCAAAGCTGCATTATTCTCCCTGGCAAATTCTTCATTGGGCATTTGACTTTGAGTCAGCTGAAAGGGAGGTGTTTTGGAGCTACCATTTTCACAAGTGGTTCATGTGTTACAAACTTTTTCCCTGCTTGAATCAGAGGAACCAGTTAGGCCAACATTGGGAACAGCCTTTCAAAACAGTCCAGGCTTGGCTACTGATCAAAGGACTCGACAGAAGAAAGAAATAAATGATTTTGCAACTCGGGAGCTTTCTGAAGAAGTAGTTTTTACTAGAAAAGGCCAATTGAACTAACTCTGGGTGTTCTGTGAAATTTGTGGATTTTGAGATTCTTTCAATGCCACTGGTGAGTAAGCCCAGTATCTCACTGCCTGCCTGCTGCATTGCAGAGCAGTGAGCCCCAAAAACCTGCCCTGGCAGAGCTGGGAGGGCTCCAAGGCCCCCCAGGTGCAGAAGTGAATCCCTCAGGATCTGGCTCTGCTAGGGTTTACTGGTACATCTCAAAGCAGAGCGCCTGGCAGCTCTGGCTTTGGGGATCCTCACCACACCCTACAGGAAGGTGACGCATACAGCCAGCTCTGAGTGCCTAAGAAGTCCATGGGAAAGCAAAGGGAAGGCAAAAATTATATTGGACTCATGAATTTCCTGGGGAATCAAATTCCAAATTCCCACTGTGTTCTTCTGCAGTGCAAATGTCCAAAAGCTCTGTGATGTCTACAAGCCTCTACACAGGTTACCTCCTATAGTATGTGACACAACTTTATTAATCTTATCTATACTTCAAGCTGGGCTTTTAAAAACATATATGTGTGTACATATATTAATATATAAAAGACAGACTGTATTCTGTGTTATAATGCACAAAAGTGAGGATGAATTGGTTTATTAGAAGAAATTAAATTATTAGCGTAAGGATGTAAAGCTGTTTTTTTTCATACAAGCAGCTCTAAACTACATGTAACCCGGATCACACAAACCACGAGCCTATGTTATTTTAAGAAGTCTATATTAGTTCAATACGACTAAGCAAGGATCAAAGACATTCCAGACTTTTGTGCAATTACTTGTAATGCTGACTTTGCTCAGCTGTACCTGCTTTACACAGCCTATGGTGTTTTGTCTGCATGGTGCATCGCGTAGTGAAGGCAATCTGCAGCAATCGGTATATCTCGTATTTTGTTATGGTTTGTCCTAGTGATGTGATTTACTGATGGGGTCACTGCAAACTCCAATACCTTGCAATGGGTGGAGCTTATTGGAATACCCACATTTGAGGCTACAAGTACCGTTAGCGCACACATTACTTCAATGCAAAATCCACTGTGAAGAAATAAAAAAAAAGACATATGGAAAACCTGTAGTAAAAGAGTTATATGCAGGAAATCCCATGCCATGCACTTATCAAGAAAGTGAAGTATAAATGATGAATGGTGCGCAGCCTCTGAACAAGGGAGAAATGCTACACGACCAGGTTCAAATGGCACCTTTGGAGGAAACTAGGCTTTTCACTGCCAGATGCCCCTGCAATTGTTTACTTTAAAGTGAGCTCACGTGTTGGTAAGCAATGTTTTTCTTCAACCACAGCTAAAGGAGTTCACACTCTGGTGGCTGCCATGCCCAATTGCAACAGCTTTACTGTGACGTCAACGCAATATTTGGAATCTTTTATTTTTTTTAAAGAGCTGTTTTCCCTTTGCCACACTTCCCTTGCATAAACGTGCCATTATCCACTGATCTGAGCAGCATAGTTAAAGATGAATAGTCCAGACTGCCCTGACTGCAGTCGCTCGGCGAAGGCATACCTTGCAGTGTGTAGTACTGACAGGAAGTCCAACATTGGAAGCTACCACAACTGTGAACGCCGAAGCCAACTCAATAGTGAATCCACTGCGGGAAGCATAAGAAAACACTTCACAATCACTCTTTGCATCAGCTCGGACTGATACCACGTGCGGTCTGCCAAAGTCTTACCTGTGTTTTCTTCAACCATTTATCTCCACCTGATTTTTGTCATACAAATAAAGAGAACAAGGAACTGCTGAATAATGGAAACAGTATGAGCTAGTCACCTCCAGTAACTGGTGGCACGGCTCATTGCGTCAGGAGCTTTTGCTATGTTATGCTGCAGTGAATCACGCCTGATTAGTGATTTGGTTAAGCATCAGTAGAAGTCTAATATGTACCAAGGACAAAAATTACTGTAATGAATACGCAGGTTTTAAATAGTCTGAAGCACACCAGGAAAGCCACTGTAACCTCACAATTTCCACATACACCTTGTGCCACGTTAGTCAAGTCATCAGCAGAAGATTCTGTTCACACAGACCTCCACACCTCAAACTCACTCTGTATTAGTTTACAAGTATATACATATTTTTCAATTTTCTCTTTCATCATTCTCTTTTTCATCCTTCCTTTCTTTCTCTTCTTTCTCATTTTTTAGAAAGACACAGAAATTGAAGCCAGGTTATCATTAAAGCACAACAAAACCAGCAAAGTACTGCCACAGCAGTTTCTCAGACAGAACAAAGATCAACCAGCATAATGACAACTGAGCACCTACCTTGAGGGTGTGATTGGAGTGAGGTCTTTACCCATAGTCTGGATAACTCTTCTGCCCCAGACCCAGAGACCCACGCAGATCCCAACCCCTCCATAAAACAGCAGCCAGACAGGAGTTGATGCTTCTTGCATGACACCACCTTGTTCATAGATTAGCCAGAGTGCAACAAGGGGACCAATTGCATTACTGGAAAAAAAAAGAACATCACTCGAGTCATAAAAATGTAGGTAATTGCCTTCAAAGGGAATTTTTTGTGCTTGATTTTTCTTCATAGTGTGTGCAGAACTGCTGAACCCACAAGCAACACTCCACTTGTGAAGACTGCAGCAGTGGACTCTTATCATGTTGCTTTTTCAGATGGCAATTCACCACTGATAACTATAGCAAGTGCTGAAAACAATTCACTTTTAATAAATCATTTCCAGAAATGTCAGAGTTGGTAATATCTTACATGTCTGTTCTGGGACAAAAAGCAGCATTTTCAGTATCATACTGAAGTTAACTGAAAGTCTACCAATTCAAGAGCTCTGCATCTTTAAAATTCAAGACTTAAATGATCTTTTGTCAAAGAGGGAAATTAATGAATAATTCTAGAGAATTTTAGAGAAGATGTAGCTGTTATCTAGTCTGATAAGCTGCAACTTTTAGAGATATGAGAAGAATGTGGCTGGGAAGGTGACTCCAAATGCACTGCAAAACTGATCAATCTGGATCAGAGATAACTGCTTGGTGATATCGAGCTGGCATAAGCTCATTTCACTATCCTGCTACTGCTGTCTAGAAATCCATGGAAATTCAGTGACACTGAAGTCCCCACTCCAAAGGCATGCCGCAGGATATGGGTGCCTCACTCGCGCTCCAGTGCCTGGAGGAAGACTTCTGAAAAAACACATGACATTTCTCAGAACGAGAGTTAGCAGAAAAACTTGGAAGCTGGCATCCAGTTATTGTAGAGGCTTTAATACAAAAACAAAAACAAACAGATAAAAACTTTGACAGTACTCTTTTTTTTTGGCAGTTTTCACTAAAACCAAACTTGCCCTGCAGAGTAGCATTTAGCACAAATTGTAAAAGCATAGAGAACAAGGCAGTATTGTAAGTAAATCTAAATAACAAAAAGAGCAGCACAAACCTGCCCAGTGTCGTTCAAAAAATTTGAATAGGAACAGGAAGCTCCCTTCTTTGAAAAGTGATAACAGAGAGCCCTGGTGGTGAACCACACGTGCAGCACCAACAGCTATGCTCACCCTGTCTCAGTTTAGCTGCTGGTCTTGCTCGAAAGCACACAGTTGGAACAAGGGACATTTTTAATGTCAATTGTTGAGCAAAGTAAGCCACTGCAACCCACAGTCAATCATTTAGTTGAAAACTAGAAGAAGTTGCACACTAACAGCCAAGTCCTCAGTACTGCCAGCACAGCATGTCCGAGCAACAGAACACCTCCTTCCGTTCTCCTGGTCCATGTGCAACCAGACCCTAAAACTGAGAAGTGCCCCTGCAGAAAAGTGTCCAGGAAGACATTTTGCCTTGTAAACATACACAACAGTCAAACAGCAAGGCAAACAAAAGTGCTTGAAAACACTCTCTGGTATAAAAAGGAATGAATAATTCTTAAAGATTTTGAGAAAAATGCTGGAAACAAATTAGTGAGCTAACATGAATAATAAAATCCAGTGGGTTTGAAGAAACTGGAATGAAGAACTAAATGCTTTTTAAATAAAGTGAATTCTACTAACAAATATACCTTGACATTCTGCTCTATCTCAACACCTGAATATACATTTGATTTGCTGAATTTTGTGAATGCATAAGTACAGTCATGCTTTAGTGCCTGAAAGCAAGAATTGCTTTGTCTTGAAGGTAGAAAAGATACATGAACTAAGCATTTCTATTATTTTTAAGTTGACTTGCAACTTCTTGGCCACTGTTTGCAGGTGTACATTAAATTACATGCATGTTTTAATGCCTTATTAAAGGTAATTCACTGTACCTTCAACTAATGAAGGCAGCTGTGGATGAGAGTAACTAAAACATCTGATGAGTAAAGGAAAAAAAACCTGATTTTCCCTTCTTATCATGGTGAATGACATAGGGAAAAACTTCCCGTGTAAAATAACAAGTACCTTTAGAGCAAGCCCAGGCACTGATTCCTGACTGTTTTGAAGAGATTATGCATGGATATTTGTCAGTCCTAATGTAAATGGGAGGACAGAAAAGGCTTCAAAAACAACAGCAGAAAACGATGGTCTTTTGTACCAAAATCCAGTTTTAATTATTTGCAAATGCTACAACTCTGCGAATCAACTAATCCTAATCCTCAAAGAAAAGCTTATTTTCTTATTGTGGCAAGAGAGGGCGAGGCAAAACTCCACTGACTTGTACCTAGCTATGGAGGATTGAAGAGGATAATGCTGCAGATCGGAGGAGACCGTACCAAACCACAGAGGGCAGCACTTCTGATACCATCTCTGGACGGAAAGAAAACAGAGGAGCACTGGATCAGTGTATATTTAGAAGTCAAAAAGGTAATTAACTGCATTGTCATGCATGGGTATCTACACCACTGGGTAGCTATTTACACCACACAGACATTTCTCTTCTCTATCTATTGTTTGCAATATGGCTTAAACATTCAATTCCTAGGAACAACCGTATCTCTCAGACTAAATACCTGCAAGAGGCCACCATGAAGCAGCAAACCGGCAGTGGTGTGGAGCCAGGGTCTCCAATCCACTACCTGCATGGCTTCCGGGTTTGTTCAGCAGGTCCAGTCCCAGGGACTCATGGTATCAGAGCTTCCTGTGCCAAGTGGGAAACACCTCGAGATGAAGCCATCGGCCTTGTCCCACCACAAAACTGCCAAAAAGTTATCAATGAATAAATCTGATTTACAAACTGCTGAGATTAGGATCTTGGTACACCATGTGTGACCTTCAAGACACTGCTATTACCATGTGCAACCAGCCATCCTTGGGACTAGGAAGAGTTCATCAATGGAAGATAACCATTCCCAACAGGAGAGTAAGAGAGATATAACACATCAGTAATAAGTTGTTAAAAGACTTTTTTAACTTTTTTTGTTTTAAGACCTTCTGTGGTGAACAGATGTCTCCTGCAGCTGAGTGACTAAGCAGTTGAACCATGATATGGGCTATGTTAGGATGTGGTTTGCAAATATTTCCCACCCGTCTCATTTGATTGAAGATATGATCAGAAGAAAAGCAGACCTAAAATCTTCCAAGTGTTTGGCCAAGACTCATTTCACAAGTATTTTGAATTTGTGATTTTCTCTTATCCTCCCATGGCAGCTCTTTTACTTGCTTTAACCACTGTGTTTTTGTGCTGGAGTCCCTACCTGGGAAAGTCTTATTCACGGTAGTTTAGAGGGTGAAGATAAGAGAAAAAAGAAAAAAAACCTGAGGTGGTCACCAAGTGGGTCTGGGCCTCCATCTGCTTCTATCTCTTTGTAAAACTGCCATTAGGTTCCTATGCAACTGGGATGCTTTGGAGCACATTACTGCATAACCTAGTTTTGCATTTAAAAGCCAAGATAACACAGACCCTGTTGGGGTGCTACTTTAGTTTCCTATATCTACAAATCAATGTGATAATACGCATTTTTTCACTGAGCAAAAGAGGATTCCAATGCAAGTTAATTTTATGCTGCATTTATAACACATTATAGCAAGAGAGTCCCAGCCCTGAGTCTGCCATGAAGCATGCTCTCCACTCCTAGTTTTTACTATTTCTGCTGGTCTTGGCTGCATGAGAGGTGTCAAGCTGCCTGCCTCCTGAAATGCATGATCCAGAACTAGCAAACACCTACAGCAGCACTTGCGCTCACAGATACGTGTCACTATGGCACAGTCAAGCAGCTTGGACCATTTCCGAAGTGCTTGCTGATCTTCCTGGTTATCTTCTAGCTTTCTCAACTAACATAAATTGGCATGACTTCTCTTTTCCTGCTCATTTGTGCCAGTTGAGAATCTGTCCCAGAGCATTTATAAAACTGTTGTGAAAGACAATACTTGACAGTCCATCTGAACTATAAATAGAGTTGGCTTCGCTTCTCCCCTGAGAGACAGATAGTATTACCACCAGTAACAGAAAACATTCAGCTGTCATGAGACAGGCTTAGAAATAAGCAGTCTGCCATGCAAACATACATGCACACACATGCATGCAAATAGAGATTTTTATGTGCTTTTGGGTCACATGTGCAGTTCTTTGTCTATAGCAACAAAGATTACAACTTTTTTTTTTTTTTAAGTAAAAAGATTTCAGAAGTGAAAGGATATTACCAGTTGAGAACTCTGTAAATCACCAAACCTCATGCAACTTGCCATAATATTTTGTGAACTAGCAACACTCTATTTCCTAGATACTTCTTATGTTAGTGATTGGCTCAGAAAGAAAATCTAATTGTAGTTGAACGCTAGACTGACTAAGGTCTCTGTTACAATCTGTGAGCTGCCGGCTACGTGATGACCGTGCTTTGATTCTTTGCTACCTGAAAGTCAGATTGTGTTTTTGCCATTTTTTCAGGTTGACTGGAAGAAGCTTAGTGCATACACTATTGCTGATTCAGACTCAATTATGGGCAAAAAGCTGAGAAATATATATTAAACTTCCAGTATTACACATACAGTCACAAATTTCCCATTCATTCAAGTATTTTCCAAAACAGACTTTCACAAATGACAGTAAACTTGCCTCTAAACTTCAACTGGGAAATTAAGTGGGATGATACATTTTTGTTCTATACTGCCATCATGCTCGGAGACGTCACATAACTGATAAACACTGCAAGGAAAGTTTGCCCATGTGGTGTGCCAACAGCAAAAAACACATCCTAATCTCCAAAGATCTCAGATTATCAAGAAAGGGCTCTTGCTTTTAACCTACTTCCAAAAACCTCCTGAACTGTGTATCATAGCATGTGTACACACCATTGTGTGACAGCTGTGTGTCACAGCTGTGCCCCATGATGTGCAAGCATTGGGTGTGTTTTGAGTCATAAAAACCACATGTTTCTTCCTATAGCTCATCAGTGTGCACTGTAAATGGAGGCCCTGAAACATAAATCCCTGCAGGCTGCAGGAAAAGGTGAAATACATTTTACCACTCACTGCATCACAGGAATACACATTCCTGCCACTCCTACCTCTTGGAGAGGCAAGGTTGGT